GAGTGAGAGAGAGGCAGGTGTGGGCAGGCTGGCATGTCCACAAAGAGGCCTGGCCTCTGGTGGAAACTATGGGAATTAGGCATGTAGGCTCACTAGATACATATCGCTCGGCCACCTACCACATGGTCGACCCCGACCATGACAGGAGGTAAGAAAACTTCAGTCTCTCTCTCACAGGAACACGGCACAGAACACAAAATAAAAACATGTATATACATGTGTGGGCATGGGAAAAAAAAACTTCCTACAGGGAGGGAAGAAAACAAAAGGGATGTGCTAAACAAAACATCAGGGTCCAGGGCAGTGATCCTCGGAGGCCTCACTGCACGTCTTCCTGCTCCTGGACAGATACTACAAAACAGGAGACATCACTGCGGCTGAACTGTGACGTAACAGGTTACCGTCTTCTGTGGAGCAGTGAAAGTCATCGTCGTAGTCAACTGGCAGGGTTTCACTCATCCAGGGGCTGGGTCAGTGAGTTGAGTGGATGTGTGGTGGTAGTGTCAGTGTTAAAGTGGGAGGTTAGTTTTGTCAGTGTTAAGTAGTGGTAGTGTCGTGTTAGTGGTGGTAGTGTCCAGTGTTAAGTGGTGGTTAGTGTCAGTGTTGAGTGATGGTTAGGGTCTTGTTAAGTGGTGGTAGTGTTCGGTTATGTGGTGGTTGGCCAGTTGTCAATGTTGTGTGGTGGTAGTGTCCGTGTTAAGTGGTGGTTAGTGTTCAATGTTGAGGTCGGTGGTAGTGTTCAGTGTTTAATGGTGTCGTGTTCGTGTTAAGTGGGTGGTTAGTGTCAGGTGTTAAGGTGGTGGTGTGTCAGTGTTTAAGGTGGCGGGTGGTAGTGTCAATGGTGAGTGGTGCGTAGTGTCATGTTACAAGTGGTGTAGTGTTCAAATGGTTGAAGTGGTGGTTAGTGTCAGTGTTAAGTGGTCTGGTAGTCAGAGTTGAGTGGTGGTAGTGTCAGTGTTGAGTGATGGTAGTGTCAGTGTTGGTGATTGGTAGTTGTGTCAGTGTGAGTGATGGTAGTTTTGTCAGTGTTGAGTGGTGGTATGTCAGTGTGGTGATGGTAGTTTTGTCAGTGTTGAGTGTGGTAGTGTCAGTGTGGTGTGATTGGTAGTGTCAGTGTTGAGTGATGGTTAGTGGTCGTGTTGAGTGATGTGGTAGGTCAGTGTTGAAGTGGTGGTTTGTGGTCAGTGTTGAGTGATGGTAGGTGTTCCAGTGTTGGAGTGATTGGGTAGTTTGTCAGTGTTGAGTGATGGTAGTTTTTGTCAGTGATTGGGGCAGTGATGGTAGTGCAGTGTTGGTGATGGTGAGTTTGTCAGTGTTGAGTGGTGGTAGTGTCAGTGTTGAGTGAAGTGTTGTAGTGTCAGTGTTGAGTGATGTTCGGGTCGTGTCAGTTTAGTGATGGTAGTGTCAGTGTTAAGTGGTGGTAGTGTCAGTGTTGGAGTGATGGTAGTGTCAGTGGTAAGTGGTGGTAGTGTCAGTGGTGGAGTGATGGTAGAGTCTGGCGGTTAAGTGGTGGGTGTCAGTGTTAAAGTGGTGGTTGTGTGTCAGTGTTTAAAGTGGTGGTTAGTGTCAGGTGTTGAGTGATGGAGTGTCAGTGTTAAGGGTGGTGGTAGGCTTGTGTCAGTGTTAAGTGGGGGTAGTGGTCAGTTTGAGTGGTGGTTTAGTGTACATGTGTTTAAGTGGTGGTTTTAGTGTCCAGTGTTAAGTGGTGGTAGTGTCAGTGTTTAAGTGGTGTAGTGTCATTGTTAAGTGGTGGTTAGTGTCAGTGTAGTGGTGGTTAATTGTCATTGTTAAGTGGTGGTGGGTCAGTGTAAGTGGTGGTAGTGTCATTTTACGTGGTGGTAGTTTCGTGATTAAGTGGTGGTAGTGTCAGTGTTAAAGTGGTTGGTAGTGTCAGTGTTAAGTGGTGGTTGGTGTCAGTGTTAAGTGGTGGTAGTGTCAGTGTTGAGTGGTGTGGTAGTGTCAGGTTAAGTGGTGGTATTGGCATTGTTAAGTGGTGGTGAGTGTCAGTGTTATGTGGTGGTTTCGTGTCAGTGTTATGTAGTGGTGGTAGTGTCCGTGTTAAGTGGTGGTATTGTCAGTTGTAAAGTGGTTGTGGTAGTTGTCAGGGTAAGTGGTGGTGTCAGGGTCCAGTGTTAAGATGTTGGTTTAGTGTCAGTGTAAAGGGGTGGTAAGTGTCAGTGTTAAGTGGGGTGGTTAGTGTCAGTGTTAAGTGGTGGTAGTGTCAAGTGTAAAGTGGTGGGTAGTGTCAGTTGTTAAGAGGTGGTAGTGTCAGTGTTAAGTGGTGGTAGTTCAGTGTTAAAGTGGTGTGGTATTGTCATTGTTAAGTGGTGGTAGTGTTCAGCATGTTACGTGGTGGTAGTTGTGGCAGAGTTAAGTGGTGGTAGTGTCAGTGTTAAGTGGTGGTAGTGTAGTGTTAAGTGGTGGTAGTTGTCAGTGTTAGTGGTGGTTTCGTGGTCAGTGGTTAGTGGTGGTATTGTCAGTGTAAAGTGGTTGGTATTGTATTTAAGTGGTGGTAGTGTCCAGTGTTAAGTGGTGGTTGTTGTCATTGTTAAGTGGTGGGTTGTGCAGTGTAAGTGGTGGTAGTGTCAGTGTAAAGTGGTGGTAGTGTCACGTGTTAAGTGGTGGTATGTCATTGTTTACGTGGTGGTATTGTCATTGTTAAGTTGGAGGTAGTGTCTGTGTTAAGTGGTGGTTGTGTCACCGTGTTAAGGGGGTGGTATTGTCAGTGTTAAGTGGTGGTATTGTCATTGTTAAGTGGTGGTAGTTGTCCGTGTTAAGTGGTTGGTAGTTGTCAGTGTTAGTAGTGGTGGTTAGTGTCAGTGGTTAAGTGGTGGTAGTTGTCAGTGGTTAAAGTGGGGGTAGTGTCAGTGTTAAGTGGTGGTTAGTGGCAGTGTTAAGTGGTGGGTAGTGTCAGTGTTAAGTGGTGTAGTGTCAGTGTTAAGTGGTGGTAGTGTTCAGTGTTACGTAGGTGGTAGTGTCAGTGTTAGTGGTGGTGTGTCAGTGTTAAGTGGTGGTAGTGTCAGGGTTAGGGTGGTAGGGTCAGTGTTATGTGGTGGTAGAGTTGTCAGGTGTTTAAGTGGTGCGGTATTGGCTTTGTTAAGGTTGGTGGTATTGGTCATTGTTAAGTGGTGGTAGTGGTCAGTGTTAAGTCGGTGGTAGTTAGGTGTCAGTGTTATAGTGGTGGTCGTGTAAGTGTTAAGTGGTGGTAGTTGTCAGTGTTAAGTGGTGGTAGTGTCAGTGTTAAGTGGTGTAGTGTCAGATTCAGTGGTGGTTTTGCAGTGTTATGTGGTGGTATTGTCATTGTTAAGTGGTGGTGTGTCAGTGTTGGAGGGGTTGGTAGTGTCAGAGTTGAGTGGTGGTAGTTGTTTCAGAGTTGAGTGGTGGGTAGTGTCAGAGTTGAGTGATTGGTTGTGTGGTGGGTGTGTCAGTATTAAGTGATGATATTGTCAGAGTTGAGTGGTTGGTAGTGTCAGTATGAGTGGTGGTAGTGTGTCAGTATTAAGTGATGATAGTTGTCAGAGTTGAGTGGTGTAGTGGTCAGAGTTGAGGGTGGTAGTGTCAGAGTTGAGTGGGGTAGTGTCAGGAGTTGAGTGGGTGGTAGTTGTCGAGGTTGAGTGTGTGGTGGTACTTAGTGGTCCAGAGTTGGGGGGAGTGGTGGTTGTGTCCAGAGTTGTGTGGTGGTGTAGTGTCTTGTGTCAGAGTTGAGTGGTGGTATAGTGTCAGAGTTGTGTGGGTGAGTGGTGGGGTAGTGTCAGAGTTGTGTGGTGGTTTAGGTCAGAGTTGAAGTGGTGGTAGTGTCAGAGTTGAGTGGTGGTTAGTGTCAGGAGTTGAGTTGGTAGGTAGTGTCAGAGTTTGAGTGGTGGTTGTGTCAGAGTTGAGTGGTTGGGTAGTGTCAGGAGTTGAGTGGTGGTTAGTGGCAGAGTTGAGTGGTGGTAGTGTCAGTGTTGAGGTTGGTGGTAGTTGACAGTGTTGTGGAGTAGTGATTGTGGTGGTTTTAGTGTCCGTGTTGAGTGGAGGTAGTGACAGCGATGGTTAAAGGTGGTAGTGTCCGTTTTCAGTGGTGGTATTAGTGTCATTTTTCCAGGTGTGGTTTGTGTCAGTGTTCATTGGTAGTGTGTCCAGAGTTGAGTGGTGGTAGTGTAAGTGTTGAGTTGTGGTAGTGTCAGTTGGTGATGAGTGGCAGTATTGAGTTGTGGTTAGATAGGGGATTGTGTCAGTGTTGATTGGTAGTGTGTCAGTGATGGTAGAGGTGGGGTAGTGTCAGTGTTCAATGGTGGTTAGTTTCAAGTCAGTGGTGGTATTATTTTGTCAGTGTTCAGTGGTGGTAGTGTCAGGTGTTGAGTGGTAGTCGTGTCGTGTGGAGTGGGTTGGTAGGGTAGTGTCAGTGTTGAGTTGATGATAGTCCGGAGGTTGTTGTCAAGCGATGAATGGTGGTATTGTCAGTGATGGGTTCAAAGGTTGGCCAGTGTGTCAGTTATGGTAAAGGTGGTAGGTCAGTCGTGGTGGTAGTGTCAATACTGAGTGGTAGGTAGTGTCAGTGTTAATTGGTGGTTGGGAGTGTCAGTGTTGAGTGTCGGTTAGTTGTCCAGTGTTAATTGGTGGTTAAAACGTCCTGTAGTTGAGTGTCAGTGGTGGAAGTGTCAGTCGGTGGTAATGTCAGTGTTAAAGTTGTAGTAGTGTCCAGTGTTGAGTAGTAGTAATGTGGTAGTGCGTGGTGGTAGTGGTGATCTTGTCAGTTGATCAGGGGTTGGCCAGTGGTGGCCAGTGGTCAGTGTGAAGTGGGTCGCGGGGGGTCAGTGTTGAGTGGTGGTAATGTCAATGTTAAGTGGCGGTTATGTTTTCCGTGTTTTTGGGTGGTGATTGATCGTGGTGGTAGTTTGTGGTAGTTGTCAGTGGTGGTAGTGTCAATGTGAAGTGCTCGCCAGTGGTGGTCGTTAAGTGTGAAGTGGTGGCTTGGCAGTTGTGGTGTGTTAGATGGTGGTAGTGTTAGTGGGGTGGTGGTAGGGGCAGTGGTGGTAGTGTCAGTGTTGAGTGGTGGTATTAGTGGTAGTGTCAGTGTTGAATATTGGTAGTAATGGTAGTTTCTCTTTGAGTGGTGGTAGTATCAGTGTTAAGTGGTTGTAGTTTCAGAAGTAATCATCATCAGTAGCTGAGAGAGACCAGTACGTAGACCACCGTCACGTGGTCTGAAGTTGCGCCAGTACAACTCCCTGTCGTTTGGCTCAATGTTGCTGAGTGGTGAGGTGGCAGTGGCCCAGGCACAGTTGTTGTACCACCAGCCTCCACCACGGTGCACAGCACAGTTCCCTGTGGAGTGTAAGATCTCAGATAATTATTATTATAATTAGTTAATTATAAGAAAAATATATAGATATGAATATAAAACATTATAATTAAATAAAATCGAATTAGTAATAATAATAATAATAATAACAACATTAATACACATAGCCAGACAGTGATAATTGTACAAGTTACTTTGTATTAAACACTTCACCACTTACCACGTGATGAGTCATTGTCATTGTCCAACGTGGTGAAAAACCTGGCTTTTATGTCATTTGTAAGTGCATCACCAAGTGTGCTGGTGCTGGTGTAGCCTTCCACTGTGACTCTGTACCTGTGGGAGAGATAATTGTTGATTATCACAAACACTGAACATGTGGTGACAACTGCTAGCTGAGGGAGAGATAATTGTTGATTATCACCAACACTGAACATGTGGTGACAACTGCTAGCTGAGGGAGAGATAATTGTTGATTATCACCAACACTGAACATGTGGTGACAACTGCTAGCTGAGGGAGAGATAATTGTTGATTATCACCAACACTGAACATGTGGTGACAACTGCTAGCTGAGGGAGAGATAATTGTTGATTATCAACAACACTGAACATGTGGTGACAACTGCTAGCTGAGGGAGAGATAATTGTTGATTATCACCAACACTGAACATGTGGTGACAACTGCTAGCTGAGGGAGAGATAATTGTTGATTATCACCAACACTGAACATGTGGTGACAACTGCTAGCTGAGGGAGAGATAATTGTTCATTATCACCAACACTGAACATGTGGTGACAACTGCTAGCTGAGGGAGAGATAATTGTTGATTATCACCAACACTGAACATGTGGTGACAACTGCTACCTGAGGCAGAGATAATTGTTGATTATCATCAACACTGAACATGTGGTGACAACTGCTAGCTGAGGGAAGATAATTGTTGATTATCACAACACTGAACAGTGGTTACAACTGCTACGCTGAGTGAGAGATAATTTGTTGATTATCACCAACACTGAACTCATGTGTGACAACTGCTAGCTGAGGGAGATGATAATTGTTCATTATCACCAACACTGAAAATTGTACAACTGCTACTGAGGGAGAGATAATTGTTGATTATCACCAACACTGAACATTGGTGACAACTGCTAGCTGAGGGTAGAGATAATTGTTCATTATCACCAACACTGAACATGTGGTGACAACTGCTAGCTGAGGGAGAGATAATTGTTCATTATCACCAACACTGAACATGTGGTGGCAACTGCTAGCTGAGGGAGAGATAATTGTTCATTAAACACCAACACTGAACATGTGGGTGACAACTGCTAGCTGAGGGAGAGATAATTGTTCATTATCACCAACACTGAACATGTGGTGACAACTGCTAGCTGAGGGAGAGATAATTGTTCATTATCACCAACACTGAACATGTGGTGGGGAACTGCTAGCTGAGGGAGAGATAATTGTTCATTATCACCAACACTGAACATGTGGTGACAACTGCTAGCTGAGGGAGAGATAATTGTTCATTATCACCAAAAACTGAACATGTGGTGACAACTGCTAGCTGAGGGAGAGATAATTGTTGATTATCACCAAACACTGAACATGTGGTGGCAACTGCTAGCTGAGGGAGAGATAATTGTTTTATTACACCAACACTGAACATGTGGTACAACTGCTAGCTGAGGGAGAGATAATTTTCATTATCACCAACACTGAACAGTGGTGACAAAATGCTAGCTGAGGGAGAGATAATTGTTGATTATACTGGATCTAGAGGTAATCAAACCCTTCAATGAGTATCAGCTTGGTGATCACCCCCATAAAGTTGTTTAGCATTTTTCCAGGCCAGAGGTTTCAACCAAACCATCAAGACCAGACGAGAACTCATTGTCTACATTTTTCTACAGATTGTGCTGAGATCTTAGTGCTGTTGCTTCTCTTCACATATGAGAAAATTTACAGAGTCTATTGGGTACAGCTTCCTTGAAATGTTATTCATCCAAAAAAACAAAAAGGCACAATATTAATTCACCATATAGTACTAAACCCCCTAGTGCTGCTTAGGTTAAGCTTAAGAGCGCAGCTCAGAACGAAAATTTTTTAAT